TAATACATTAATAAATATATTTTTTTATTAAAACTAAGTGACTTAAAGAACCCACATTTGTGACTTCAAAATCAATATTAGGTTGTTATCATAACACTTAATAGTAAAAATACATTATCACAATCAAAGCATTTCATTTTCAAATAAAATGCGCTAGTAGCAAAAACTCAAAAGAAAATAAACGAAAAAGAATGTATCTACTACTACACCAAACGACAAATTTTTAACAGAAGTATATAAATGTGAAAATTCTCAACCTCTGGACATTTTTGTAATATCAGACATTTAATATGAACTCCTCATATTAACACACCAATTACGTAAGACTATAACTGTTTAATTAATAGGTATATGTACCATATTTCCCAGAAAATTTTGAACTAAATGTTAGGATGATTATGTAGATATGTGTTTATGATTCTTGCTATAATGTAAAGTAAAATACAGTAATATCTAAGTAGGTTTTGGGAACATTGCCTCTTCGCCGTCTTCGGTATCGCTGTCCTCCTGGGGTTCTTGAGATTCTGGCAGTCTTATGAATGGAAGATGATCGCTTCCGCTCCATATCGAATAAAAATTTGTGTGTAAACGAACAGCGTCCTAAGAAGAATCCTCTTTCAAGATGTCAAAACATAAAAAAATAATCTTAAACGATAAACTTACACCTCCACCACTGCTAATACTTTCCGATGCCTTGTCTGAAGAACTGGCAGTTGATCTACTGTGAATAGAAAGACAGGAAGACGAATCTGTGGACGAACTACTTTTACGTGACGTTAAAGGAAGCCCTGGCGGAAAAATATCGAAATGTTCTGTATTTGGAACACAGCAACTGGGAGGAACATCTATTGATTGCCATATGCCCCTTAGAAAAAATACTGAAGAAATAAAATCATCTCCATGGATTACTACAAATATGAAGTACTGACCAGTGGGATTAAGGACTAAATAATGATAAAATCAGGGAAGGAACGAAGTTGTGATCCCTAACAGATTAACTCGCCTCAAGAGATTAATTACAAGGATTGGTTAGTGCAATAGATTGTGATAATACAATACAAAAGCAATTTACCTTTGTAAAGGTCCTCCATGTCCCCTTTTGTGCATTCTATCCTCGTGAGTATCTGTCCATACAGATGTACCATAGGGACCAGGATGCGGAGTGTGAGCAAAGGGAATTGAACACCTCATAGGTCTACAAGACAGCAACTGTATTGCCTCAGCTAAGCCCTCCCCACCTGGCAAGGTACCGGGCTGATTTGGAAGCGTTTCTTAAATGTAAAAAGTAAATTTAGGAATTTAGCCTTACATTATAGTACTTTTGTATCCACAAAGTTTTTGTACTTACCTGGTGTATTACTACGACTCCTTTCCTGTGACGTTCCGGCTACAGGAACTGTTAATTTTGTCGGAAGATACCTTTGTTGCCAAGGTGCCGTTTCCACCCTACCGCAATCCCATGGCATCGACCATCTTCTCATGCTTCCGTCGCCCCCTTCAGCGCCACTTTCTCCAACCGACGTAGCAGCAGCAGCTTCTGACCATCTCCGTTGTCCAATTAAAGGGAATAACGGGAAATGAAGTGCAGAACGAGAACCACGTCCGGGAAATGGTGATTTCATTGTATAGAGGTGACCAGGGTTTGGAAAAGGTCCTGAATTAGGTTGGAAACTAATTGTTTATTAAGATATTCAGAGATAATTCAGTAACTTTTACCTCTTATGGTTTCTATGTGGCTTGTACTTTTAATGGTATCTGGACTTGATCCCCTAAAAGTCTCGTGAAAAGGAGAAGTACTTCTTGGCTCAGGATTAGCATTAATTGGACTGTGTTGACGTGAGAACTCAGGTCCTGTTCCTTTATAACAAAATAAGTAAAACCAAGATTTATATAAATTTTTTGGAATCATACCATAAAATTTTGATAATTCTGGACCCTTAGGGCTGTCTAGCATCCCCACATTTCGATCTGCAGACGTATTATGTGGACTTGATGTCTGAGAACGAGTTTCTTGAGCGTATATTTGAGAAAAGCAGTGTTGAAGTGTTGCCATGCTACAATCAGGCACATGTTGAATACCAGGTGCTGAGTGACAAGAAGGACATGATGCCATGACTCCAAAAATTTCACATCCAGCTAGAAAAATATACATATAAGTATAAAAGAATACTAATAAGTGCATTAACAATAAAAACCTAATGAGAACTGATATTGGAGGTTTATAAAAGTATGAAGATTTTCTGTTATGATTTGCTGATTGTGCTCTTGTTGTCTTTGGGCATCATCATCAGTGAATGTTTCTCCAATAATCATATCTTGCATTGCTGATGCTATGTGATTTTTAACAGTATTTGTGGCAAACGAAGCAGCTTTCACAAATTCTTCCCAACTTCCTTGACATTGAGTTGCAAGGAGAACATTTTGGAATTGTGAGAGATTGTGAAGAGACTGAGACAGTCTCAAACCGGCAGTGCATAGGCTATTTAAAATCTACAAGAAATATATGATACGATTACATTAATAAACATAAGCAAAAATGTATATTTATACTTGTAGATAACATATCCAGTTATTTAGGCATTCTGTGGCAGCAACTTTTAAAGCATTTGGGCTAGGCGGTTGTGGGTTTTCTTCAATACCTTTCTGTCTTGTGCTATCTTGGGAGTCTGTACTTGGTCCCGCAGTTGCTCCTAATGGAAGTTCTTTTTCTCTACAAAAAAGCTTGTTGATTGTGCTGGCTTTTAATTGATAAAAGCTAATTTATTTCCGTAATGACAAACAAACTTTAAACTTCTACAAACATTTGATACTTAATCCTAGATGCTGAAAGGTGTTGATCTTATCAAGTTTGCGAAAATTTAAAGTTGCTGTTATAATTTCAAAAAACTTTGTTGTGTGGAATATTAACTTTTACTTACTGTTCCATAATGGAATAATGCACTTAATTCATTTAAAGAAATATTTGCCGATTAGAGGTTAAGTAGAGAAAAATAATTTCATTGTAGGCATTCGTTAATTGTGATAGTAGCTCAATAGGTTGCAGTGATATTTCAGAAACATGTTAGCACAAAATAAACTTTGCACTTTTCCTATTAGGGCATATTCTATTAAATTTATGTTTAATTAAAATGATGAAAATAAATAAACTTGACATTTGAAATGACAAGCCTGTTGTCATCTATTGGACAACCTTAAAAGTTACATCTTGCACCAAATGTCGATTAATAAGAGTGTTAATAAAGTCCACTGCTTAGGCTACACAGTTGCCAATAGCGGACGCCTCCAGTCCATTAATTAATAAATTTTAGGAAAATTTTAAATGTAAACGACACGTTTTCCTAATATATTGAAAGTTAATATTAGAAAAAACAAACACTTGTGACATTTTACAATTCTTTATTGATAATTCAATACATATTTAGCGTTTTTAAGTCATCTTCAGGGACAACAAGAAGTACATATTTGATGAAAATGTTATTGGACGTTCCCGGGAGGCGTTTCAACTAAATAAATATGTAATTTTAATGTACTTATTTTACAAAGTGATAACCGCAGTGAAAAATCGTTTTATTACAAAAATATTAGCAATGAATTCTTTTATATCCTAACTAATATTATAAATACAAATGCGAGTTTGTAAGTTTTTTAAGCCTTAACTACTTACCCGATCATCATAAAATTTTGTACACACAGTGTCAGGGGTACAGGAAACAATATATGGTACCCTTTATCAAGAAAAATAATACTGTTCCCCAAAGTTAGAAAAATTAACTTAATGTGGTCGATTTCATACTTCAATACTCAATAAATCATAATGAAATTTTGTAGACACATAGTCAATGATACACAAAAGGACATAGGGTACCTTTTATCCAAAACAATATTGTTTCTGAGGAATAGAAAAATTAGTCTCATGTGGTCGATTTCATGCTTCAACACTCAATAAATCATAATCAAATTTTGTAGACACATAGTCAATGGTACACAAAAGGACATAGGGTACCTTTTATTCCGAATAAAATATTGTTCCCGAAGAATAGGAAAAAATTATTCTTATATGGTCGATTTCACACTTTAACTACGCTAGACACATCGTAGGGGTACGCAAAAGAACATAGAGGGTACCTTTTATCCAAAAACATATTGTTCCCGAGGCATAGAAAAAATAGTATCATATGATCGATTTCACGTCTTAACTACTCAATAAATCATCATAAAATTTTGTAGACAGATTGTCAGCAGTAGACAAAAGGACACAGGGTACCTTTTATCCTAAAATATTTTTCCGAGAGATAGAAAAAAAATTGTTTTATTTGATCGATTTCACGCCTTAACTACTCAATAAATAATTATTAAATTTTGTAGACACGTTGTTAGGGGTGCGTAAAAGGACATAGGGTATCTTTTATCCAGAAAAAATATTGTTCTCGAAAGATAGAAAAATTAGTTTTCTGTTTTCATCGATGATCTTTGACATGTATTTAGGGTATTAACGCGAACGAAGCCGTGGATAAGTATAGTAAAAAATAATGTGTGGTTTTGAATAGCCAAGTATTAAAATACCCAATAAAAAAACACTAATTATTCGAAATATACGAAAATTATTTAAGACAAACTCAATAAATCATTATTAAATTTTGTAGACACATTGTTAGGGGTGCGTAAAAGGACATAGGGTATCTTTTATCCACAAAAAATATTGTTCTCCAAAGATAGAAAAATTAGTTTTCTGTTTTCATCAATGATCTTTGACATGTATTTAGGGCATCAACGCGAACGAAGCCGTGGATAAGTATAGTAAAAAATAATGTGTGGTTTTGGAATAGCCAAGTATTAAAATACCCAATAAAAAAACACTAATTATTCGAAATATACGAAATTAATTAACACAAACTTATGTGGCATACCCTGCGTACATGTTTTATCAGTTGTTTATTAAGATCACATAGCACGCGCCACATTAATTAATTAAAACCCATAACAAGATCAGTAGCACAAGTATACTTTTTACGTTACCTAGTGACTCATCGAGATCATCCTTCACACCGTTTTGGACCAAATATCTACCGTTATTTTTCAATCATCGATTGTTGAACAACAAAAATAATAATCCTGCATGTACCTTTACTAGGTAGTTGTAGTCTGGTCATTCAGCTGTGACGTCAGGGAAGGGAACTCACCTGTCTGGCATTAACGCATTCGAGTAGAAATGGCAAAGTGAGCGTTGGAGACCGGAGCCAACTTAGACTTTCTCATTTCGGCGGTAACTGTTGAACAATTTACTCATTCTCATTCCCATTCTTTCAAATATTACCTACACGTATCTGTAGACAGTGTTCGTAGCTGTCTCTGTCAGATTTTCGTGTTTCTTTTTCTTTTTTGTTTTAACGTTTTAATACAGACTATTTTGTTTCGCGGTTAACAATTAAAAAGTAAGCTAGGTAACAATTGAGCGCCGTACTTATTTCGCTTGTTTTGTGTGCCGATCGGCCGCGGAGACTTTAACGATGGATTAAGCGACGAACCCGAACCGTTTGAAAGCGTCGTCTATTCGTTTATTAAAAAAGTTTCACAACAATGTGGTCTGTGAAGTGTGTTATTAAAAAGTATTGTTGCTCTATTGTGCTGGTATTTCTTGGATTTTGTAACTGGGCTAGTTCTCAAGGTAAAAATCTATAGATTAATAATGTTATGTTTTCTTAGCCATCTAGGATTTTATTTAAATATGTACGTAGGTACAACTAGAGAAGGAGAATTTTATAAGTTTTTGCTGTAATTTTAATCGACCGTGCGGTTTACTTTCTCTAATATTGGTCTGGGTAGGTACATAAATAAACTGTCAAAGTTAATTATTTTCATTAATTATTCCCTTGGGTTAAACCTTCTAATAATTAATTTTCAGATTAAAATAACGAAAACTTCCGGAAATACAAGGTTACAAATTTATCGATCCACTGCATTTGTAGATCTTATCTCTCGAAATCTTGTTAGGCACAAATTTTCTTTTATTTAAGTGACCCTGCGTATTAAATGTGATACAGTATAAACTAGGTACAGTGGAATTCGTTTATTATGACTCCGCCTGTATTGACCAACCGCTTAATACGAAGTAATTGCAGTGTTAAGTTTGGTTTTCATATTAAATTCTCTATAGGAAAGTTTGGATATAATGTCTCCGTTTAAAATGACATATCGTTTATTATAACTGATTCTCAAGAAATCATATCCGGCTATAGTGACCCAAATGATTAATAATAACATTTTCGCTCATTTTTCTGACCCTTCTTATGTATACTGA